CCAGCTGACTCCTGTTTTCCCGGCCCCCCGACTACGTGCGGGCCGCGCTTACTCCCAGCTGCGCGTAATCTTTGCCAGCGGACGGCTGAGGTTGGGTTCCGCGCGCTTTCTGCTTGCTCAACTTTTCTCCTCCTCTTCTTTATCCCTCTCTCTCCCCTACTTCCTCCTTTTTCTCCCTCACCTCTCCTTCCCATCTTCTTAATTCTCTTATTCCTGTAAATCATCCCTCTTTCGAATGAATTGAAAGATTTTTAATAAATTCTATTTTCATTATCAGTTCACAAAAGCCTTAGTCCTAAACCCTTAAGATATAGAGATAAAGATACAGACAGAAATAGATACCAATAAACATACACATTAATCACGCCATGTAATTTTCATATATATCTACACTGATATACAACAAACTATACAAACTATTCATACACATCTATTCAGATATACAAACATATTAGTATACTTTCATACGTATCTCCTCAGATATACAAATATATCAGTATATCCTGCAGTCACTTTCAGAAATAATATATAAAAGAAAAGAGCGAAATTTTCTTAAACTACATAAACTACTCAGATATACGAGCAAATACATCAGTCTACCCTGCAGTCACTTTCAGAAAAAATATAAAGAAAACGAGCGATAATTTCCTTAAGCTACACAACTCCACTCAGATATTACAAACAAATATATCAGTATACCCCTGCAGTCACTTTGAGAAAAAATATAAAGAAACGAGCGAAAATTTATAAAGCTAACACCAACTCTACTCAGATATACAAACATATATATCAGTGTACCTTGCAGTCACTTTCAGAAAAAATATATAAAGAAAACGAGCGATTATTTCTTAAGTTATACAGCCTCTACTCAGATATATAAACAAATATATCAGTCTACCCTGCAGTCACTTTCAGAAATAATATATAAAGAAAACGAGCGAAAATTTCTTAAGCTACACAACTCTATTCAGATATACAAACAAATATATCAGTCTACCCTGCAGTCACTTTCAGAAAAAAATATAAAGAAAACGAGCGAAAACTTCTTAAGCTATACAACTCTACTCAGATATACAAACAAATATATCAGTATACCCTGCAGTCACTTTGAGAAAAAAAAAAATATAAAGAAAACGAGCGATAATTTCTTAAGCTACACAACTCCACTCAGATATACAACAAAATATCAGTCCTACCTGCAGTCACTTCCAGAAATAAAATATAAAGAAAACGAGTGAATCTCAATCTATTCAACTCCACTCAGATATACAAACAAATATATCAGTCTACCCTGCAGTCACTTTCAGAAAAAAAATATAAAGAAAACGAGTGAATCTCAAGCTATACAACTCCACTGATATACAAACAAATATATCAGTATACATGCAGTCACTTTGAGAAAAAATTACAAGAAACGAGGAAAATTTCTAAGCTACACAACTCTACTCAGATATACAAACAGAATATATCAGTCTACCCTGCAGTCACTTTCAGAAAATAAATATAAAGAAAACGAGCGAAATCCCCCCCCCCCATGCCACTATACTTAACCACTACTTGATAGAGAACCGGTTAAGGTCGCAAATGATAACAGACAGCAACAGACCGCGTCCCTGTCAGAGGCTGTTAGATCACGCCCATCGCGAAAGCTCAGATGGGTGGGTGGAGGGGGGGGGGGTTAGGGAGAGAGGGTGGGAAGGGGGGTATGGGTTAGGAGTGAGGGAGGGTAGGGTGAGAAGGAGTGGGGGAATGGAGAGGGTAGAAGGAGTGAGGGAGGAGGAAGGGGGTGGGTAAAAGAGTGGGGAGACGGAGGGGTTGGGGTATGAGGGTAAAAAGACCAAAGGGAGAGGATTAGGAAAAGGAAGGAATCTTGGAGGAGAGTGGGGTGGGGTGGGGAGCTAGGAGGGGATGGGGATCAGGAGAAGGCGAGAAAAAAAATAAAGAGATTTGGGGAAGGGGATGGGAGGAGGAAGGAGGAGAAGGGGAAGACGGAGATGAGGTGGATGAGGCTGAGGATGGAAGGGGAGGAAGAAGAGAAGGCAGAGGGTGGGAGGAGAGGGGAGGGAGGGAAAGAAGAGAGGAGGGAAGAAGGCATGAGAGGGAAGGAGGGGGAGGGAGGCTGTTAATTTGGGTTTCTTCACCAGTTTCATGTCAATGAGTATAATTAGGATATATTTACCTCTGTTTTTTTTCTCTCTCTCCATCTATCTAAACTATCTCTTTCTCTCTCTATCTCTTCATCTATCTATCTATCTATTTATCTATTTATCTCTCTCTCTCTTTCTTTCTCTCTCTCTCTCTCTCTCTCTCTCTCTCTCTCTCTCTTCTCTCTCTCTCTCTCTCCTCTCTCTCTCTCTCTCTCTCTCTCTCTCTCTGCTGTCTCTCTCTCTCTCTCTCTCTCTCTCTCTCTCTCTCTCTTCTTCTTCTCTTCTCTTCTTCAGCTTCTCCATCCTCCTTCTCTTGCTCCCCTTCTCTCCTTCCTCTCCCTCCTCCTTCTCCA